GATACATATTTTTTACTCGGAACAATTTGGATAAGATGGTCTTTTGCATAAGACATTCTTTTTTTTCTTTTGTAAATCTACGATTATTTTTTAATTGTTTGTTTGTAACATTATAAATTTATATATATCCATTTTATACATATAGATGATGTATTCTTCTGGCCTTATTGGTTCTACTGTCAGAACCAGTAAATGTAAGGGACGCTTCCTAGGGACTCCGCAATACTATTAGATTCATAAAATAATTGCAAGAATTACTTTATCGGACTGATAATTTGCCAATAGCCGAAAATTACTTGCCTTCCCAGTCACGTGATCGGGAAAGACAAAAAGAGAGTTGGCACAGGTAAGGCTTATGCAAGTAAGGCCAACTTCAACGCGCCGCGACAGTCAGTAAAATAGTCAGTAAGTAGTACCATTATTGACCGGTAATAGGATCGACCGGACATCCAATGGGGTTTTGTGTTTCAGAATCTAAAATATCGACCAGGAAAAAGTCATTGGTTTTTTAGCGCACTCTGCGCACTGTTAAACAACAGTAAATTGGAGAACTATATCGACAAGCTGATTAAATAAAATGATATCCATTATAGTGTTGCCAGTTGTATATCTTCCAGATATACAATACATATAGGTAAATACATATAATACCTCGTCTGGATACAAGAAATCACGTATATGTCACAAAGAGTTATCCGTGTTTTAATATTAATAACACATTTTAAGTATATAATTATTTATACTTCATTGTTTTTAAAAGTTTCTACTAAACTCGCTACCTTCTAACTAACTAGATTATTCCTAAAATTATCTTGATTGGTAATTGGTGATTGACTACCATATATTTATTTAGTTTAAATGGCCACCGATTGAGATAAAATTTGAAAGGCGTGAAATGTGAAACTCTAAAGATGTAAAATCTGGGCTACGAGAATTCTTTGTTTGGAAGGTAGATTTTTCAATTTTACGAAATTTATTATATAAACAAGTATATATATTATATAAACAAGAACAAGCGATTAACAGCTAACGTTAGGTCCGATGCAGACAACCGATTTGTGACAAATCATCATAACAGCGGTTCTTTTGAAAAAAAGAGATAAACATAAATATTCTGTTATTCTTCTTTTTAAGAAGAAAAAAAAGAAAAAAATTTTGCATCTCTATTCTTCCAAAGCACCGCCGACTCGTCTCTGCACCTAATTCGAGCGCCTAAAATAAATAAAATTTATTCAATTCTCATAAGCACAAATATTTCCATATATACGTATTATTTTCATATATATGTCACCATGTAATTC